TGATCTTGCGAGGTCCCTTCCAGCCCCTTCCAATCTATGAATCTATGACCTGTAACAGCTGAAGTTTTGGTTTCAGCCCACCAAGAATGGCAGGAGTGTAACGAATAAGCTGCAGACTGTTAGGCTGCAATGCTTTACCACAGTAAGAGCACTTGCATAGTTTTCCTTAACTTTTTTGGCCATTATTGACAACAAGTAGCACTGTGCTTGCAAAATGTCAGCAATTTAAGTAGACATTTTTACTTTCACCATTGTATTTAATTTAAAAAGTGAATGTCCAATCCAGTTGAAAAGGAAAAATTTATATTTAAATGAACATTACAATCTTTTCTTTGGTGTTAGTTCATAGCAATCTAAAGACAAGCTGCATTGTGGTTTAAAATGAAGTCTCTATCTTAAGAAAGATACCTAGCTCCATTTGGAAATTCTTTATAAAGGATGCTGGAAAGAAAATGTAACATAAAAGTCTAAAGAAAGTACCTGCAAACCATGTTCTCCTGCATCATATTTGTTATCACCGTCCAGCTGTTCTACTGCAACATAATCAATGAAGGACTCAAATACTAAGAGAAAGAGGAAGACAAGACAGGCATTTACTAATACAGGCAGAGGAACCATACAAAAACCACACAGGGAAAACTAGGAGTCTTCTGTAAAATCTTACTCCTGACCCAAGTTTAACTGAACATTTGCCTCTGTACAGTAAATAAATCTCTTTATTAAGAACTTTGAGTATAAACAGGATTATATTTGGGACAAACAGAAGGGATAAATACAGACAAAAAACTCTGACAGATGTAAAAATCAACTAGTTGTTATGCTTTTGTAGAGTAAATTCATAATTGTTTCTTAAATCAAACTAGCATGTAAATTACACTGATAATTCTTTAATTGTCTTCATATTTCCTTCCCTTTCATGCCCATTATTTGCTTGTGTAACTAATCAATAAGGATTGAGGTATTGCTTGAATCAGTTAGCTCGTCTCTTAGTTTTTATTATTATAGCCCTCTGAACATAAGAATCCATGTCCTTTAAAGTTAGCCTGCATTTGCCGATTATTCTTCTAATTTATAATCTATGTGATATTAGAAGCATTTCAGAAGCTACTAATAAAGGGTATTACAGAACATTAAGACATCATAATAAACACAAACTCATAACATACAATGACAGTTTTACAATATGATCCTAATAATAAAGAGGGAAAGGGAATGGGTGGACAGGGGACATGGAACTGGGGGGGGGGAGTGGAAATCCAAGCAGGATCTCTCCAAAAAGAAAACCTTTTTGCTAGGTATAAAAGCCTATGAAATCAAAGGTCCCAATCTTCCAAGTCTCCACAAATTCATTTAAAAATCAGTGAGTACTAATGGAAGTTCAGGGCCAATGTGTTTAAGTTAGTCTGTGAGTACAAAAATATGCATTACTTACTATTTTTCTTTCCCTTTATACTTAGCTGGATGTCATAATAATCCTCTATTCGTTCTGATCGATAGTCTACGTGTTTGCATTGGATATAAGACTGCAAACAAAAAAAAGTAGGATTTCAAAGGATACCAACAGCATTCATTTAAAAAAAAAAATATTAGCTCTCTAAATACATACCACCATCTTCCCTCGAAATAATTTAGGGATAGTGCCTTCTACACACGTGCCTTTCATTTTATTTTCCACATTATCAAGCAACTGAAAGAAAGAAAGAAGCAAAGTTAAATTTGTAGTTATACAGACCAAAATACTATAGTGTTCTGAATGCATTTCATTACCACATTAATAAATCATTTTAATTTATTGATCAAACTTTTGTGTTTTATTATTTCTTGTGCCACTCTTGTGAACCCAAAATATTAGGCACTTGGAAACTGGCTTTTCTTCTCTATTATTCTTTTAAACTAGCAAATTGCCTGTCAAGAACGACAGGTGGGGACAGAGGCCTGAATCCAGACCTTTCCCCTCCACTGGCAGGGGCAACTCCCCTCCCCGGCTACTTCAGGTCAGGCTGGGGCCGTTTCCCCCCTCCCCTCCACTGCTTCAGGCCGGGGCAAGTCCCCCACTTCCCTCCTTCAGGCTCTAAGGCCTAGATTATCCTAATTTTGCAGAAATCAATATCAGTACTATAAGAATTTAGCTAAATATTTTATATTGATAATATGCACCAACATCCTGTGTATAAAAGATGATACAAAACATACCACTCGACATAATTCTTGTACATCATGTTGCATGAAGCTGTCTAAAGTTTCCCACCTTTGCAAGAAAGACAATAATAAAAATCATATTATTAAAGAGAAGAAATCTGGCATAAAATAGTTTGAGAATTCATTTACAGAGCAAAGGCATAAAATAAGAATCAGAGGACATTCTGCATAATTATTTCAAAAAGAAGGGGCTGATATATAGTAAAAGAAAACACCTGAATGTGTGTGTCAAAAATCTTCCATCAAGAGTTCCATATAAACTCACTCTACCAAAGGAGACACATGCTGCTTATTTTGTTCAATTACCAAACCCCTTAATACTTAACATCTTATTTAACCATCCCCAGTTTCAAGGTAGGTGAAGATTTTGACATAGCATTAAAAACACCTGCAAAACTTGTAATGGTAGCTTATTATTTTCCTCTGAAGAAAAGCAGCACTCACAGATAAATACTGCGCAGCAAGGAAAAATATTAAAGGAATGGAATTTTGAAAGCCTTCAAGGTAGTGCTACCACAGGAGCACAGTTATGTCAAAACTGCATTTCTGAAAATCCGCCCCCCACCACCTACCCAAGTCTTCTACCTGATTTGTTGAGCTTTCCTTAAAACATTATAGAAGAAAACACAGAAGAAAGCCTTACAATTGTAACTGTTTTTAAATGGCATACCTCTGCACTTCTGTGATTCTACCCAAAAACCTCAAAGTAATTTATTAACATTTCATTAATAAATCCTTACTACACCTCTGTAATGATTGTCATCTCTTCCCACCCACCCCCATTTTACAGAAAAATTTAACTGAAGCACAAATAAAAGTAACTTGTCCAAGTCCTGTGAGAAGTCTATAGGATATCTAAGCACAGAAAACATCTCTTGATTCACTGTCCTGGGTTTAATCAATAGCTAAATCAAAATCAAATTAAATAAAGTTTAACAACGTCTCTATATATTTCTAAATAACTATGATTAAGATAAATAAGGCAACACAGATACTTCCAAATTAAGAACTAAGGGCATCTTTACACATGCTTTAGGGTGGGTGGGGTGGGGG